AAAAAAAACAATAACAACAGCTACAGTCGGCCGGTTGCCGGCTTACCAAGTCCATTGAAGCCCAAAGGTCGGTGTGCTTCGCGTTGCTGTATGCGTATTTCTTTATGTAATGCTAAAACGAGCATTTCCCAACGCTGACCGGTCCAACGAAGCGGCGCGCACCGAAACGGTCGTAAACAAGAGATGTACTCAGTCGATATGAGTTTCATATGTTTTAATAAGGGGTGTTCAGTCGACAGACCGCTGAACTCATAGCAAAAATACTACGGCATGAAACTCCAGTCAGGTCATTCATAATTCGTTCATCTGAGGTAGACGAATGAGCATACTTTGTGGCAATGGAAACAGGAAGTTACTCGTCGTGTCTGTCACTCATCTGTAGGCACAGTATTTGAGCCTTGAGGCTCTCCTGGCTAACAACACATCACTGGTGCACGAAAGAAGCTATATAAGTGAAGAAACTCCATAAGCTCTGTGAAAAAAGGCGCTGCAAAATGTACTAACCATAGAAGTGCGAGAGACATCGATACCTCAACAGTTACAAATCTTGCTTTCTTCGTTTCTTTATGTGTCTTAATCATCCTTGAAAAAAAAAAGATTTCACATATGGAGACGTGGAGGGTTTTTCGACTAAAGGAAATGCTCTTCGTTATATAACTACTGCTGAAGCAATGAGAGCTAATCCCATCGTAATGAACAGTCAGCAATTGCGTCACAAGTCATGTCGTCAGTCACAGACTCATGCACATGTAGTCGTACTGGTACCCGGCACCGTTTTCAACAGATGAGGTATGAAGAACTTATAGAACCAAGCTACTTCCGCAGAGTAGGAACACAAGTCAAGTCCTTAGGCGAAAGTGACCAGAGGGCTTGTTGAAGTTAATGATTCAAAGAATTACCAGAATGAGACCATGTTGCAAGAATCAATCACTTCTTGAATCACTTCCAGTGACAGAACAGATGGTTGCTGTGACCCAGACGTGATTCAGCTCAGTAGCTTGCACCAGCTAATTTAGAGTATTAGGCAGCAAGATCATGACAGGGGAGGACACTAGAGGCACTAGAGGGGAGAATGCTCTCAAGGTGGCCATAAATGCTTGTACCCTTTTGCATTCGAAAGTTCCATAAGTGCTTGGCCATAGAAAAATCAGTGTGCTGATATATTACTATTCTATAAGGTTATAGTCTCATTGTGACACGCTGCTCGAAGTTTCATTTGAACGGTACAACAGTAAATGAGGTAACCATTAATCTGCTCTGGTGGAAGGCAATGACTATGACCACCAGAAGCTGCGGCCACTCGAGAGTGGGTGCTGAAGACTCTTAACAATTGGGCCAGTGAGGACTTTGGCAATATCAATCTTTTGTACATTCCCATGTTATACGTTGTCAAATGGTCAAATGACTGTTGAAAGATATTTCATCCTGAAAGTACACTGTTAAAGGTCCCATACTCGACTGATCGATGCAGCTCCGTCCACTGTGCAACTGTCGGACGCGCGGCCGTCAAAATTCTGTGCATACCTGGAGTCCTTTTTGGAACACCGGCTTTCCGTCCATGTCCAACGTGTAGGCTAGCATCCTAATAACGGATCCTCCCTAAATAAAGGTACAGTGTATAGGAGGAGTGCGCAGACGCACTGTTCATATTTACCTTATTATAAGTTATGGCGTCGAAGATGGATTCTATTTCTGACGGAGAAACGACGTCGGCTAAGATCGGTCGCGTGTTATTCAGCTGATCCAGGAGTAGTGCTGGCTGCAGCTGGTCTACGTTGAACCGATCTTGCTAAACAGCAAAATCTTTATAGCGATGTCGAATCATATATGCAACAGCGTCAGCTAGTAAAAGTCGTATTATGGTGATTCACAAGTAGAAGAGGCAAATGAAGCGGTTCAGGAGCTTCACCGATTTTAATATCTCGGCTCCATCATCCCCAGCATAGATACGATGGCCAGAGTCAATCATAAAGCCCTAGCTGATTGTGCGTTTGGAAACCTGTTCAACAGTTGGGACTCAGAAATGAATAATTTCCCCCAAGAATCTGCCTTGAAAGGTTGATGCTGTTGTACGGTACGGAAACAGCTTCTCTAACTGGTGAACAAGAACAAGCAGTGTCAGCTTCGACGCATAATGCCATTGAATTGGTAGGGCCGTAGTGAAAATTGCTGCATTTTCTTCTGGGCACAGTAATCCCAGGACACGTCGAGTTTAAGAAAACTGGTTGAGTCTAAATTACTCTAAATTCTTGCCCAACAGCTTCATGCATAGGAGTCGAAACAGACAGACCTCGACCAGGTGACCATCGTGTTTCATGGAAATACAGGGTAGAGACAGGTCTGCTTTCGGAGAGAAGCATTAGCTTCTACGGTGCTACAATGCTACGGCTGACGTACCGAAGCATAGCGTTTTAAATCTGTGACTACAGCGGAAATGTTCTACTGTACGGTAGCTACTGAAGGTAATGATCTCAACAAACGCACACAATCAGCATTAAGTGGATAGTCGCAATCGAATGAGCAGACAAAGCCCTTAACTCACCATCCTCGTCGTATTGCCAAGTATATAATCGGCGCCCATGACTTCGAAATACGTAGCGAAGCCCTCGTTCAACCATAGATCGTTCCAGGACTGCATGGTAACGAGGTTGCCAAACCACTAAACAACCGCTGTAAGCAACGGAGGCAAAAAATCCGGTACTCTAGCAGTACCTGATGAGCCAGCTCATGAGCGACGACAACAGCCACTCGATCCTTATTTGCCTGCCAAGACGTTAGCTGATTATAAAGAAGGGCCGTTTCTCGATAAGTGACCAAACCCCAGTTCTCCATCGCGCCGGCTTCGAAATCTGGCACTGCCAACATATCTTGAGCGACAAGCGCAGATTATTATAATCAGTCATTTTTAGCTGTTAAGATCAAAATAAATCTCACAACTTCACATCAGGGTGACACTGGTAAACTGCATATCTTTTTAACGCTAGAAAGTCCATCCGCAGCATCTAGTGCTGCTCGGCTGA